TGGTCTCGACTTGGCTTCCTAGAGGTAAGATCATTTTATAAAAATCTTTCTTTCGTATGATAGTTTTCAACTATATTCTTTGAAAGTTATGGTTTTCTAGAAACAAATCAATTTTGAAGATGAAACTATGAATAGGATCATAATTAAGCATAAAGTTCTTAAATGGTCAAGTGAGTTGGCTCTCTTAGTTTTTTTTAAAGCAATTAACATTCTTTATGATAGCTTATGCTTATAAGCTTTAGGTATTCAATTACGAGTCACTCTTCCCGTTAAAAGGAGATTGATTAAGTGGTAGTTGCCTCCTATAGGTAAGCTAAAATTAAACACCGATGAAGCTTCTAGGAATAATCTTTATTGTGGAGGAGGTATTCTTCATGATGAGAGAGGTAACTTGATAATGCCTTTCTCTATTTTCTTTGGTCCTGGAAGAAACTCCAAAAGAAGCTCTAGCTCTCTTAGAAGGCATCGGATTTTGTAACACTTATAACTTATGTTATGACATTATAGAGGTCGACTCTTTTTTTATTATAGGAGGTTTGTCTTGCTTTTGTGCTTGTCCTTGTTAGCTCACATAAATGTTTAGAGCTCGTTAGGAAAACATTCTTATAGGTACTATCTTATAACATGTCTATAGGGAGGGGAATATGACAGATTGACGGACTTATGAACTATGCCTTCGAACATGCTTCTTGCAAGGTCTTGTTTTTAGCTATTGATTTTTCATCTTTATGTTGCATTACACTTTTAGATTATAGGCTAGGATTGTATAACTTTCATATTGGCTTAAGCTAGCTCCAATCCAAGGCAACTCCCGAATCCGTTATTTAACTAGGTTTTTATTGTTGTTAGCTATAGAGTTACTTTTGAATAGTTCATCGTTACTTTTCTTCTTTTCATGGTTAGGAACTTTTAAGAAACATTCATATAATTATTCTTTTAAGAGTTTAGACTTTCTTGTCCTCCCGGTATGTTGGCTGGATTTTTCCTTTATTTGTTTACCATGTTTGATCTAATATATCCTTTAAGACACCGTCCTTGTTCACACAAAAAAAATCTCTATATGCTTGAGCATGAGGTTGATTGTTGACTTAAAATTGAGTTTGTTGAATAGTTTAATGAATATGTGAGTATCTTTATTTTAATTTAGGTTTGCTAAATGTTTTTTTTTACTATTATCTAAACTTCGGTCGGAGATCTCAATTTGATAGACAAAATATGCACAACCAACCTATATGATGGACTAGCTCATAAAAGATCTTGAAAAAGACCCTTTACATACTATAAAGTCGTATCTCATGTATATTATGAATGGACATAGGTTTCATACACAATATTATGGTACAAATAGAGCAACTATGAATAGTAACGTGTGTATTAAAAGATCTAATTACGAGTATAGATGAAAGTGACTATTATTATATATTAACTAAAATTCTACAATTAGAGTATCCTACACACTAATTAAGAGAACAGGTATATTCAAATGCGATTGGTTTGATCCTACATCGAATGGAACAAGTAATAGAGATTAGTAAAGATAAACTATAGAAGGAGTTTCAATAGATACAAATCTTTTATTTTAGAAGGAGTTTTAATAGATACGAATCTTTTATTCTAATAACATAAGCGACTCGGTTATATTATGTCATGTATCCTAGCTTGAAATACGACCATCCGGATTGATCGGTGTTTGTAAGATAAAAGTTAGGGCTACGATTGATTTGCTATAATCATCTATTGACGTCCAACATACTACGGAATCGTTTTAATTGGATGATTTGGAAATCCAACATAATTTGATCTAGGATGATGGTGAACGATAGTAGTTGAATGATCTAAATGGATCATTTATAGATATAGAAATAATTAAAGCTAATGAAGAAGATGAGAGAGAATATGTATTAGAATCGACTACGGGAGATAAAAACGTTGAAGATTATTATGACAATTATAATTAAAGATCAATTTTATTTGTTATATTTATTAAATTATAACGTTTTATTTATTATGTATTTTTTTGATGATTGTGTACCTTTTAGAAGTGTTAAATTTTGTGCAAGTGTCATTCTCGGTAATAAAGGAATATCAAATACATAGATTTTTATTTATTTTAATTCATACTAATTTATAATATATTTTAAATTAAATTGCTATTCATTTTTTAAATTATTTTAGGTGTTATTCTTGGGTTATGCCTTGTGGATTGAGAAGATCTACTCGTAGTGTCGGTGGTCGTGGCTCGATATTGGTCATGTTACTAATAGTGACAATGTACATGGATGTGGCACTACTAGTGTAAATGTTCGAGGTCTGTAGACTTGATAATGGTGCCAACATTTTTGCATCCTCGCTAGTGGTGCCTCTTCTATGTATGATTCCATTACGGTTTCTTCAACTACAAAAAGCTTTACTAGATCCGATGATGGACGGACCATTTGGGTTATGAATAAATAATAAGTAATATGCTTTACATACGATAATTAATTTTATATTTTTATATGTTATATTAGAATCATCAATTGATCATTTATTTGTTTTGTTCAACAGTTTGATTCCATCAAGCAAGTGCTTCACAAAAATCACTATAATTTTCAAAGAGTGGTTAGACGTCGTTGGCTCCATGGAGATGAATGACTTCTCGCTTTAATAAGTTTAGGATAACATATTAGTCATTTGCTTATATTTAATTTAAAGTGTTAATTTAATAGGAAAAAAATACTAATATTATGTTTTTCCTTCATGTAGAAGTACTTTTTTATCGGATGTTATCGATGCACCGATTATGAATACGTGAAAAAGTCCGTTATATAAGTGATACGACAACATGCTTAAGAAGCTAAAGTATAAGAGTAACAAACCTATGTTTGTTAAACATGAGGTGTAAGAAGCATAGCATTAGGATAGGACCACTCCCGAGTATCGGGCTCAATCTTAACGGACATCTCAAACATACATGTTGGAGATGGATGGTGTTAGTGTTGGTCCATCCAATCATATTGGAGGATCCTTCTTTTTGATCGAGCACGCCGAGAATTTCATAAATCCTATATTATTCATTTTGTTATGAATTAATTTTTACATTTATTATATTTCATATTATTTTATTTATTTTTTCAGCATAATAAATTGGGTTGTAACCCAAATCTTTACGAGTTGTTTATGACCACTCACAAGCGAAAAGATGGAACATTTGTCAATAGATAGTCACGAGAGATTAATAGTAAGATTTTATATTTTTTAAAATATATATACAACTATCGATATAATCTAAAAAATATATTTATAATTTAATAATATAATTATTGTAATGATATAGGAGCACGTGGAGTCCATACAAGAACCAACTGCTAAGGAGCAACGAAGGGTGATGCATCATCTCAAGATATAGACATGTCTAAGATATATTTGGATATTGTTGAAGGGGAGAAGAAGTAGAGAGTGTACAAGATCGAACTTATGTGTCATAGTGTTACTCACATTATGGTGCCGGCTCCTCCTCTCGCCACTTTATGGTCTCGTGATTGTAATATCTATAAGGTTTTTTCCTAGTATGAAGATAGGATCATGGGGATGAAGGCCATCATCTAGCAATAGGCCATTCAAGCTAGCTCTATACGAGTTAGTTGCGGACAGTGATGTGATTGTTATAGAATCTGCAGCGAGCATTTCGTCTCTCCCGCTAACCCTCCTATAACCCAAAAGTCGGTCGTTCTTCTTAACAATCAATAGTCGGAAGATGATGTAGGTGATGGTGATAATGATGACTAAATTTTTTTCTTTTTAAAAATTTTTTAATATTTTTTTACATCCTAACGTATTTATAAAATTATTTTATTTTATTAAATAATATATCAAGTTTTAATAAGGTGTTGTTTATAGTTGCTTGCTATTATAATTAAAAATATATGACTATTGTTTTTTCTTAAAAAATAAAATAAAATAAGCAATGGATTTAGCAATAAAATTACGAGGATAATTAGTGATTGAGACACATATAGCTACTAAATAGCGACGAGACTTGAGAGAATCTTAATGACTATAATTTAGATATTTAGCGACGGATATAAGTGGAAATAGCGATGGCATGAAGACAAAAATTAGACCTTATAGATGATTTTTTTTATTGATTTATCATTGAAAATTTAGCAAATTAGTGACGGAACAAAACTTTGGTCGTTAAGAAAATAGCGACGACCATATTAGCAATAGAATTCATACATATTGTCTCTAATCTATCGTTAATTGCATATAGAGACAGATTTTTAACATATAGTGACGAAAAAATTAGTCGCTATATGCCAAAATTTTCGTAGTGATTTTCCTTCCTAGTGGTGTTTGGCCTCATGTGCAATATTCGGATAGGTTTCTCTCTAAACCGACTTGTAGATATGTAATTAGAGCTTGAGAGTTCTTACAAATTATGGGGAAACTTCTACGGTGCCATCGAAAAAATCCATGAGGAGCACCACTTTTGAATTAAGTTTTACATACGATAAGATTATAAAGTTAGATAGTTGAGATTGAGTTCCAACCGAAAAACTTAAACCCTATGGTGAATGATTTTTTCTCTCAACTTTACATATTAATCGTTTTTTATTTAACTATTCATTGTGAGATATCTTCACGTAACACATATTGCATCTTAGATTAATCACTTCAGTTTAGAATCTAACTTATTAATTGAGAACTATAAAATCATATTATTCGACTTTATGTAATAGTTTAAGTTTTTGAACTATATGGTTCTTTAACATAATTATGATTCAAAATCACTCCCATTTGATTTTTGATATCCAATTGAGTTATTTCAGAAAATATCACTTAATTCTATTTCAAAAGAACCATAAGTTCATTTGAGAATATTCTATAGCAGCTTTGAAAAAATAAAGTGTGAAAAGGAAAAATGCTTTAGAAATTAAAATATACCAGGAATTAAGATGGGATTCTTCATTAACAAATACAATAAAATAATAGACACCAATCGGAAGGAGACCAAATTAATGGGGAAAAGAGGCAGAAATAGAACAGCTGCAAAGAGATTGCCATTTCGTTTGTGGAAAATTTTCACACGGGATGTTTTTGCAGTAAAAGTAAGGCAAACATATCCAAAGAAGATCAATCTTAGAAAAGCATTTATGAAATATAATAATTTTGTCAAAGTCAAATTAAAGCAACTGGCAATATATGCCTATAAAATGGCATTAGTTAGCATGTTGAGGTTATAACACATCTGGTATTGCATTCCCTGCAAGAAAGTATCTACTTGATCTTCACATAGCTCACAACATCTGCATTATTGTTAACTTGTCATAGATTCTTTAATTCATTCATCAGCCTCTGAATTAGGCCAAAACTTTGCTAGCAGAACTTGTAGTTACATTTAATTAATTATTGTTACTTTTGTGGGAGAGAGCTGATCGATTACTACTCATACTGCAATGGGAAGTATTGATGACTTCAGTCGTTATTCTTTTCCAGATGGTTTCATTTTTGGAACCTCCTCATCAGCTTACCAGGTAGAATATATTTTATTACTTTGGATTATGAAGTCACTTCCGAATATTGCTTTGGATAAATTCTGTTTATACAATAGTGATTGAGAGATTTCAAAAGTTGATTTGAATTCTTAATTTATGATTTGCAGTACGAAGGGGAAGCAAACAAACACAACAGAGGACCAGCTATATGGGATATTTTTACTGAGGAACATACAGGTATCCTTTTAGTGACCAATGATAACTTAGATTTCTTTAGAGTGGAAAAATAAGTAATTAAGAAAAGGGCTATTTCAAGAAAAGCATATAAACAAAAATTTTAAAAGATAATAATGAACACAAATTATATTTAAGATTAATAATTGAGACAATACTTTTGATACTGTAGAGAGAATACTGGATCACAGCAATGGCAATGTGGCAGTTGATTTTTATCATCGCTACAAGGTATGAAGTTCAGTTATGCTATTCTATATTGATCCTAAATACATTAATTTGGGTCTAAAATCAATGGTTTTAGAAAGAAAAATGTTGTCACTGAATTTTAACTCTATTCCTGCTAAAAGAAATTTGAAAAAATGTTGCAGGAAGATGTGCAAAGAATGAAGGAAATGGGAATGGATGCTTTTAGATTCTCAATTTCTTGGCCGAGAGTATTGCCACGTAAGTTAGCCAAATTACAAGTCTTTTTATATATATATATATATATATATATATATATATATATATATATATATAATGGGAATGGATGCTAATTATTTGTTTTTTCTTATCAAAATTATGAAAATGCAGATGGGAAGCTAAGTGCTGGAATAAACACAGAAGGCATCCAATTTTACAACAATCTCATTGATTATCTCCTGCAAAATGGTTAGCACCCTTTTCTTTTTCTTTCCCTAATTTCCTTCAATAATTTGGTAATGTTAAATGAAATTTTGAATGATTGACCTATTTTATGTTTGTAATACGCAGGTCTAAAACCTTTTGTTACTCTCTTTCATTGGGATACTCCACAAGCCCTTGAAGATAAATATGGAGGTTTTCTAAGCAGTAACATTGTGTAAGTAACACCCACTTTTTAGTTCAACATAACGACGATTACTGTTAAACTTTCAGTAGCATCGAAACATTCTTTATCAATCGATCCTAAATTTTCTCCCAATTCACTTGTAGGGATGATTTTCGGGATTTCGTGGACCTTTGCTTTAAGACATTTGGCGATCGAGTGAAGAACTGGATCACTTTAAATGAGCCATGGATGTTCAGCGTTCAAGGTTATGACTTGGGCGCCATGGCACCTGGTAGAATATCAACTGTGGTGGAAGATTCTTACCAATCCAAGAATACAGGTGCTACTGAAGTTTATGTAGTTGGCCATCATTTACTACTTGCTCATGCAACAGCTGTGAAATTATACAAAGAAAAATATCAGGTAATTACTTTTTTAAATGTGCTTATTTTGTTTACTTATGTTCTTAACAAGACATTTTCAAGGAAACTTTGTTAATTTGTCTTTGATTAATCTTTAGGCATGTCAAGGTGGAAAGATTGGCATAACTCTCGTTTCTCATTGGTTTGAACCGTACTCGAATAGTGAAGCCGATAAAAATGCAACTAAAAGGAGCATTGATTTTATGCTCGGCTGGTGAGTATTTTCTTTTCGAATTCTCAAGTAACCTATGAATTTTTAATTTCTTAAAAAAAGAAAAAGAAAAAGAGATGGAATGAGTTAAGAACACACTTTTTTTTTGTTTTACATATCTTTTCGTGTTTTTGGCATGCAGGTATATGGACCCTCTAACCAAAGGCGACTATCCACAAAATATGCATGATAATGTTGGAGGAAGATTGCCCAAATTCACCAGTGAAGAATCTAAAATGCTCAAAGGATCCTACGACTTCATTGGACTTAATTACTACACCACGTATTATGCTCAAAGTATGGAGAGTGTTGATTATAAAGATGCAGGGTTTATGACAGATGTTCGTGCTAATTGGCCAGGTAAATTCACAGAACGTATAGCTTGAGCTAGATAGAAAGAAATAATAAAAATAAAAGAAGAAAATAAAAATATTCAAAACTGAAGAAAATAAATAAAAATCGGCAAACATTTTCTTCTCTCGCTCTGTCTTTCACATAGAGAGAAGAAATTTATTTCGCAGTTACTCAATTTCTTCAAAAATATTGTATATCATATATCTCTCTCTCTCACTCTCTCTCTCTGGCTTTGTAGGTGAAAGAAATGGCGTTCCAATTGGTCCACAGGTGCGTCATCCGCATATACTATTAATTTCAACATATAATAACAATATTTACTTCCCTAAATTGCATAATTATAATATATACAACTCAATTTTACAGGCGGGTGTGAAGTGGCTCTACATTTATCCAGAGGGTATCCGTCAGCTTTTGAATTACACAAAAGATGTATATGAAAATCCAACAATTTATATTACTGAGAATGGTACGTAGGATTGAAATTGAAGATATTTTATATGTTTAAATATGTTTTTAGCTATGCTAATTTAAATATGTTTTTAGCTATAAGTAATTTATCATTTCTTCCACTAGTTTCTAATTAATTGTTTACGCAGGGGTTGATGATGTGAGCAATAATTCTTCGTCACTAGTGGAAGCCCTCAACGATCCTATAAGAGAAAAGTATTATAAAGATCATTTGAAGAATGTTCTACGATCCATTAAGTGAGTATAATTTCTTTAGAATAATCTTCCTTTTTATCATCACCTCTCCAAGTATATTCTTGTCAAATTATTTTATAGTTGCAATAAAAATTATTATATCTACTATAAGAAGGTTATTGATTGAAAAATTTTTATTTTCTTCATAAATACTAAATAAGAATTACCTTATCAAGTCATCAACTCCACCCACCTAATAATGGTTGATTTTTTGTAGTGATCATGGAGTAGATGTTAAAGGGTTCTTTGCTTGGTCATTTATGGACAATTTCGAATGGGGAAGTGGTTACTCAGTGAGATTTGGACTCTACTACGTAGATTTCAAAAATGACTTGAAACGATATGCCAAGAAATCGGTTAAGTGGTTTACCCAATTCTTAAAAAGGGATCACTCACATCATCACCAAGATCTGCCCAGCAAGACTATGTAACACTTCTTTTGCACTGCCTATTATTTCCTTATGATTATTTTCATATCATAGAAAATATGAAATATTTTTTCTGACTCCAAAATTTTATGTCTTGTTTGATTAACAGTAATGGAACACAGAAAATGGGAAGGGACACCCCAAACCCTAAAGTGGAACGTGATGCTAAAAGGTCAAGAAAGGAGTAAATTCATTGAACTGAAAAAGGTGATGCCCCCCGGCCCCCTCACCTTGCCTTTGATTTTTGGTAGCATTTCTCTTTCCTGAAAATCTCATGGTTTGTAACCTTTATTTGTTGCAGGGACTATATGTCATGTTACGTATGTAGATATTAAATCCAAAGTCAAAGATGTTAGCAGTTCTGGGATGCAGCATAAATAAATAAATTTGGTCTTCCGATTTCGTTTTAGGGCTAGTATATTTGGAAATAAATTTCCACAATTGTGGTCTGTGTTAATTTATTGTTTAATTTGTAGACGATTTTTTTTTCATGGTGTTGATTTTTTTTTTAAAGTAAATGACTATGTTGATTTTTATTCATTCAATAAATTAATAAATTATGCACTACTTTCTCTTCAACTACTTCTTCTACCAATTAATGGGAATATAAAGCTTCGTATACCAGACTAAATTAATCTTATTTATCCAAAGCTATAGTCAAGATTAAACACTGTTGAAGGATTTTAGAGCACATACGTAGCTTGATTTTGGACCAAAGCCCAGCTTTAAAATCATTTCAATTTTAAAAATTAAATTGATGATTGAAACTCCATGAATTGTTTTATATTATTTTTTAACACATTTCTCAAATAAAAATGTTTTAGACTTGATATTTATATAGGGCATGAGACTTTATTAATTTTTCACCTAGTGTTTTTATATATATATATTTTCACCTTTTTTTATCATTCATTTAGATATATTTCTTTTTTTCATTTTTTAGTCATTTATCATCCTTTCTTCATTTTCTTAGCATTCTCCTTCTTTTTTTCTTCTTTTCTTTTCTTAGCATTTTATTTTTAATATTTGCCTTCGCATTTTTCCTAGCATTTACTTTTTTTTTTTTTTTTAGCATTATCTCTTTTCTTTTCTTTTTCTTAGCATTTTTTATTGCATTTTTCTAGAATCCCCCCTTTTTTTGTTCATTTTCTCATTTTCTTTTTTTTTCCTAACATTTTTTTTCCTTTTTCTTCATTTTATTTTGTTTTATTCGTTAGTGGAGAATTGTCATCAATCCCTATAAATTAGGAGACTTGATAATTCATCCACCAATTAATTACATAACTCGGTTATTGAAATACAACCTAAAATTAAATATTGACTAAATAAATTCAAAAAATTCAAAATGCTAAATCTAAATTAAATAAACATGCATACATGATCTAAGTTTTCTAACACAAGCAAAATTAACGTTATTACAAAATAACATCATCAAGTAATTAAAAATAAGTTGGCAAGAGAAACAAACTAAATGGCCATTAAAGAATGACCAAAAAGCGTTCGGATTGCTCCCGCCAATGACCAAAATGCCTCTAGAGACAAAATTACAAAAATGCCCCTTAGAAGATGAACAATCACCGATCGTTGTTCATTGAACTTTCGATGATCCTTTGGGTGTGTGAACCACCCTTTTTCGTAGAGGAGATCATCATGAACTCAATGATGGTGGTTGCGGTAGCGAAAAACGTCGAAGGAGGGAGATTAGAGGCTGAAAAGTTTTGGTCGGATCTCCTCCTCTTCCCTACGATGATTCCGATGATGTTAGGAGATTTCGAGGGCACCAATCGACTTGTGAGGATGATAAGAGTGACTAGGGGGTCCAATTTAGCCTTGATCGGTCAATTTTTTTATGTTTCACAAAACAAATTAGGAAACGGGTTGTCATTGATTAGTCCATTTTTTTATGACTATTATCTCGTGATTCTAAAAAGGGACCACTCAAGGGAGTCGGTCGATTTAGTTTGTGGCGGTGGGAGTTAGTGGTTTGGTTGAAATTATGAGATATAACTAAGTTGTTAAATGGATCGAGTCGTGATGGTTCTAGCCTCGATTTCATCCTCCTCTAAATGTCCTTTCGTCCTCAAATCGGTGGGGATAGGTCGATCTAGAGATGGGATATCCATTAGTGGTGGATATTAGAGTCAAAATTGATTGAAAGGTGATCGATTTGGAGGATGATGGGTAAACGAGTCACTTGGGTTTACTATTCGGGTAACGAAGTGTTTAGCTTCTTTTTTTTTTTTAGTTTTCACTATTTTTTTGTATGGAGGTTTTTTGTGGTGGTTTTTTTTATGGATTTTTTGGGTGATGGAGGGTGGCTAGATGTGTGGTGGGTGTTGTTGTGGTTGGTTAAGTGGAAAGAAAGCTTGGTGGTGAGTTTAATAGAGGGTGATGGCTTGGATGACGAAGGAATATGGTGTTTTATTGGTTTGGATTGTAAGAGAACTTGAAAACCAATTAGAGATCGATAGAGAACCAATTGCTAAACAAATTTGAGAGAGATGGAGGTTAGCATGGGTAGAGAGATGAGTGGGAGGTTTTTTTTTTTTGGGATAAGTCTTTATATAGGGAATGTTAGGGTTTGAGAAGGAAAGTCATCTCGTCGGTTTTTTTCTTTTAATTAAAAATAAAGAATAATTAAAATCTTAGAAATTTATAGAAAAATGCTTAAAAATCATGAAAAAGAACAAATTATACAACTTTTATTTTTTTGAATTTTCTCTTCTTTTTTTTTTAATTTTAATTTTTATGAAAATAATTGGGGTCAAAATGTTGTTATTATAGTTGTCCTCCTCTTTACATCGCTTATGGCACAAAGTCAAATGAAAAAGGATGTTTTTCAATGATTTTGCATAATAAGCTTGTAAAGAAGATTTACTTGGAGATGTGAAAACGAAGGGTCTGATTGTGTTGGTTGATTGTCTCAAAAAGTAAGATGCAATAGCCTAATTATAAAGGATGACTTGCCTAAAGAGTAAAATACGATAGTCTCATTGTAGAGGATGACTTGCCATAAAAAGTAAAATAAAATTACCTTATTATTTGGGCGTCTTGTCAAAAAAAGTAGAATACAACGATCTTGTTATCTTAGCGACTTGCCTAAAAAAGTAAATACGATAGCCTTATTGTGTTGAAAAGTAAAATGTGATAGCCTTATTGTATAGGGTGGCTTATCGTAAAAACTAAAATGAGATATTCAAACAAGCTCGAATAAATAAACTTTTAATAGTTGATCCGATTGAAAAAGATATACGAATTGCTTTGGGTAAGCTTTTTCTTTTTTCTTTTTTGTTGAAAATAAGATTAGTGAAACAAACCTTTGACGAGATGATCCGATCAAAAAAGACATGCTAATCACTTTGGGTGATCTTTTTCTTTTTTGAAAAATGAGATTGGAGAAATGAACCTTTGATAGGTGATTCGATCAAAAAAGATATATGAACCTCTTTGGGTGATCTTTTTTTTTTTTTGAAACAATATCGGAGAAACGAACTTTTGACGGGTGATCCAATAGAAAAAGATATACAAACCACTTTGGATGATCTTTTTTTTTTTTTGAAAAATAAGATACTAGAAATGAACCTTTGATAAGTGATCTAATAAAAAAAGATATACAATCACTTTAGGTGATCTTTTTTTCTTAAAAATCGAGATCAGAGAAACGAACCTTTAATAGATGATTTGATTGAAAAATATATACGAATAGATTTGGGTGATCTTGTTCATTTTTGAAAATCGAGATTGGAAAAATGAACCTTTGACGAGTGATGTGATAAAAAAAGATATACAAACCACTTTGGGTATTTTTTTTCTTTTTTGAAAAATGAGATCGGAGAAAAGAACCTTTGATAAGTGGTTCGATAAAAAAGATATACGAATCACTTTGGGTGATTTTTGTTTTTTTTTAAAAAATTGAGATCAAGGAAACAAACTTTTGAGAAATGATCCGATAGAAAAAGATATACGAATCGATTTAGGTGATCTTTTTCTTTTTTGAAAAATAAGATTGAAGAAATGAATATTTGATAGGTGATTCGATAAAAAAAAGATATACGAACCACTTTAGATGATCTTTTCTTTTGAAAATGCAATTAAAAAAAAAAAAGAACCTTTGACTAGTGATCCGAAAAAAAAAGATATACGAACCATTTTGGGTGAGCTTTTGAGATTTTTTTTTGCAATACATCAATAAAACTAATTGTAATTATTAGTTTCTTACCCGTGTGAAACATAGGTTACACTTTAAAAGCTTAACTTTCCCTTATCGGATTGCGATTGATGAAGTCGAATCGATCCGTACCTTACTTTTGCTTTTGGTTTGCTTGAGATACCTCTACTCGCCTCTTGGTTTAGCTACTTTGGATGTTTTGATGCTCCAATGCTTGCTGCTTGGACCATCATCACATTAACCGACTTTATGGTGTCATTTTTTTTTATCAATTATCAAATTTTGTTCTAAGTGGTTAGATCTTTGGCATTGTCCTCCGAGTGTTTTTAGTTTTCCGGAATACCATTTAAATCAAGTCATGAGATTCCCTTAAGTATTGGTTGAGATCATGCCTTTACGACTCTTTTGATATAGTCACCTGTTGGTACTCATATGCTTGTCTTTTAATGCTTGCATCATAATTTACAAATTGGTCTTAAAGTTTTTATTATTTTTTTTAAAAAAAATCATTGAATAGACATTTGGTTCTCATAGATTAAGCCATAAACTTGGATGATTCTCTTGAATACAATTCAAATTATTTAAAAGAAATATAAACATGTTTTGATAAAAATATTTTCATTCATGAAGATGTTCGATAAAAGTACGTTCATTTATGAAGATGTTCGAGTTAATTGATCAAAAGTCAAAATATGATGTTAAAATACTATTATACAAAAAAAAAATTTTAAATTGTTAGGTGAAACCGACAAATGTGTTTGGGTCGTGTTAGCTTTTTATGAAAAATAGTTTTTGATGTTTCGAAGATAAATGGTCAAATGATAATTCTATTTTGGTGATTAGAAAAGGTTAAGTGAAGGGCATTTTGAAAAGTTGGGTTATGAAGGATAGTTTTGCCCGAGAATACTTTGATTCTGTTTTTTCTCCCAAGTTAGTTTATGAAAACTTATGATTTGATGTTTTAAAGAGTGATAAACAATACATTGACTAGTCATTTTTTTTATTTGTTTGATCATCATT